CAAGCATATTGGGAAATTGTAGTAAAAAAAAATCCCAAGTAGCAATTGTAAGAGATATCTGATTTCATGAAAAATAAATTACAGGGCTAACAAGTAATGAATCTTTGAATTATTTTTGAAGAATGAGATTATCATTTAGTGTCACTATAATCTCTTGCCTGCCACGTAACTCATATGTGCAGCAGAAAGGATGAATATCCATATGCTGCACATATGCGCTCATGTTAGCTGAAGTTTTTGTGCTGCTCATTGCGTTCCCCCAGCACAGTGACTGTCACTGACAACTTTGGGTCTCTAGCTATTATCAGGAGTTGGTGGAATGGGCTTGTGATCATGTTACAGGCAATCACATTCAAATTTCAAATACATTAAAAATAGACATTGATTTAGATAATAAATAATTATTGCCATTGTAGCACTTCTATCATGTTGGTTGTATAACAGTTGGATTTATATCATTACTCCCCAATCATAAAACACATATAAGTAATGATATACTGAAACTCCGACCAAATGTAAAGTGTCTGCCACTAAATGCCAACTTTCTCTTACGTACTATCTGTTGTACAATGTATCTTTCAGATTGCCGCAACTACCACGGAGAATGCCAGAATTGTCCTGCAGATTGACAATGCTAGACTTGCTGCTGATGACTTCCGTGAAAAGTAATATTTGAATTCTAATATACATATTTATTTTATTCATTTATTCATTAAGTCACCTAAATTTGTTGGCCAGTAGCTTAGGGTGAAGAGATGTTCACTGTCTGAAGGAAACACAAACCAAGATTAAGGTTGGGGGAATATAAGCCCTATTCAATTTCAGAATTTACAGAAACCTTTCTGTAAAGAAAAATAATACTTACATTATAAGGGGTTCCATGCTTATGATTTGTGAAGATACGTTGGTGAAGCAGAGGATCAAGATTTTGGTAGATATTTCGATCTGCTGATACTCTAGTTAAGATACTGCTGTCTAAGATCTGGCGGGGTTGAAAAAGAGGTCCTGGGATTGCCAGTAGTAAGTTTGGTAGTGTGTATAGGGCACCAGATGTATGGTTGATGTATGGATGTATTGCTTAATGGGAGTTTTTATGTTTTTATTAGACATCAAATCAAGTATGACCTACCAAGGAGAAGTGGCCAACACAGGTCCTCATTGTTTTTCACATTTCAGTTTAATTTTTAGACATCATAAAAATGAAAATAATAGCCACTGCATTTGGGGGCTTAACCAACCACCCTTCATCAAGATTTGTGCAGGTGTGGGTGTAAATAAAACTGGACTGAGAGAAGGTGTCTTAGAGTAAACTTATGTAGTATGGATTAAAGTCCAGTTCTGGTCACCAATCTAGCATCAATGTGGAAGAATTAAAAAAAAAAAGATGACCCATGTTGGCCACTTTTGCTCCTCAGTGGGTCATAACTGATTAGATGTATATCAGAAACATAAAAACTCCAATTAACCAATATTATCCTTCTTTTTGTAGTTCATGCTTTACAGCCTGATTTAAAGCATATCTAAACCTAAAAAAACAAGAATGTCATATTGCAGCTTATCGGTCCTTAGATATAGCTTACTGCTTTTTCAGGCTTTTTTCCCCTTATTTTCACCTGCTGATCTTTAAAATAACAAATTTCCTGTCCCATCATGTCTACACTTTACTTTCTCCCACTGTATCCATGCAGATAGCCAAAGTTGAAAGACAGGCTAGACTTCAAATCTGTTTGACTTTGTTCATCTTGCGTGGATCGATGGGACTAATAGTTTACCCCCAATAATGATAAGGTTATGTGTGCTTTCTTTTCAGCTCACATTAAGTGACAAGGGCACTACATTTCTAGGCAAGCTCCACAGGTATTTTCTGTACTTGCTGAAAATGTTATTAGCCTAAAAAAATGATAACTAATACAACCACCACTTCTAAGGACTGGTAAGCTGCAAATTTTTAAAATTTAGTTTTATTTAATTTAGTAATTTATTTTTAGATACACTTTAACAGGTAGGACAGGTCAAACCTTTACTTTTATTTTGGATGGAGCATAGAATGTTTAGAGCTTTACTGTCTCCATTTACTTTGGTTTCACTAGGCAGACCATGGGGGGAACCCCTCTAACACAGACAAAATTTTTTTTATTTTTTTGAGTAGGTGAAGTAAGTGAAAATCTCTTTACCGTAGCTCCAGATAGTGGTAAAAACCTGATAAGAATTCTAATCCTTAACCACTTTATCTAAAACTAAAAATGAAAAGCTTTAGCTGGACAAACACTGGAAGAGGACTCCAAAAATGCACATCAACTGTCCTCATAGCTTTGGATACTGATAAACAATTGTGACAATATATTAGATTTAGAGGTCAAATGGCTCTGCCATTAGAATCTATTAAAAGTTTATGTTAACTCTAAATTGCTTTTTGATTAAATGAGGATTGAGGAATTACAGGGGGTACACCTGAAACCGTATCCCCAAAGGACAATGGGCTTAATTGTGAACCCTCATGAACATTCTGCTTTACCCTGTGGACCATAAAAACTTGTACAATGGAAACAATGACCAAAGGAAGAGTCACACCTGCTTCAGTGGCAATGAGGTTAATGTTCACTTTGCAAGGGAATTATACCCAGAGCTTAGTGAATGAGGTGGAGCTCTGCTGACTTCAATCATGTGCTAGAAAAAATAGATTTTTTAATTGTCATTGCATGTGATTAGGTATTCTTTTCAAAGTGCACACATTCACTAAGTTCGGGGGAAAATTTCCATTGTAAAGTCAACAGTCTTTTTTGTCAACCTTAGTGTGAATTATTAAAAGAACATTTGCTATTGATTGAAGGATCCCTCAAATATTTAAGTATCTCAGCACATACTCCAATATTTTACAATGTGGAAACTATTTCATCACTCTTAAATCTTTATTCTTCCCTTTGTCAAGGTATGAAATGGAACTGAATATGAGCAATAATGCTGAGGCTGATGTGAATGCCCTGCGCAGAGTCGTAGAAGGGCTCAACCGTGAAAACTGCGATGCGGAGGTTCAGAGCCTTCAGGAGGAACTGCAGGAAATGAGGAGGAATCATGAGGAGGTAGTGTTCATTGCAGGGGACTTCCAAGTAAAATGGAAATCTTTTTTATTGGGGTTTCTCCATGTAGTAACATGTAGGGCCTCATAATATAATTCTTTCCTACTGAGGTCAATACTATTTGGGTGGCAATAATCCACTTTAACTTTTAATTAAAGTAGAATTAAACTTAGTGTAGAATGTAAAAATGTTAGCAGGTAGAGTTTTTATGGCAGAAGAGACTCTGTATGGTTCTTTTCCCTTTGTTGTTTTTTAATTGTATGCCAAACCAAAAACCTCATTTTCTGGCTTTGGATATGGGGGAAATATTAGAACCACTGTTTGGGTTTTACTGCAATCGGTTGCTCCATTAGAAAATGTTACCCTTATTTATTGTCCTGCTGACAATGATTTCATAAGACAGGGCATTTTACGCACTGACCAACAATGAATTGTTTTAGCAGGAGTTTGAAAAAAGTGTGTTTGGGACCAAGGGAGGCCACCTAAAAAGAGGCTTAAAAAGAGAGAACGTTGGTTCTCCTTTAAGCCTCTTTTTAGGTGGCCTCCCCTGGGCCCAACACACTTTTTTTCTGACATTACTTCAGCTTCGGAGGATCCCACCGCACAAATTTATGATGAGTCGGTGACCTTTCCTAGCACTTTGAGATCTCCTCTTCATGGGTGAGGTATACCCTAGTGTTAGTCTTTTTGTTTTATAAATTTATGTTTATCAGGAGTTTCCCTGAAACCTGAAAATTATTTCAAGGGTTCCTCTGGGGTTAAAAGGGTCAGAATGACTGCTATCAGGGATTGCAAGAGTCTAAAAATTAATCAAATGATGGTTTTTTACACTAGCTACCATAAAAAACTTATTTAACAATTTTGAAATGACAATGTTACTGCATTGATTGGCCTTTGGTATCTTCCCATAGCTCAGCGGCACAGTGGCTTAGTGGTTAGCATGTCTGTCTTGCAGTAAATGGGTCACGGGTTCGATTTCTGACCATGGCACCTCCTGTATAGAGTTTGCATGTTCTCCCTGTGCTTGCGTGTGTTTCCTCCCACACTCCAAAGACATGCTGATAGGTTAATTGGATCCTGTCTAAAATTGGTCCTAATATGTATGAATGTAAGTTAGGGACCTTAGATTGTATGCCCCTTGAGGGTTAGGGACTGATATGAATGTTCAATATATATGTGTAAATTGACAGCGCTATATAAGTACCTGAAATAAATAAATTTTTAATTTTGTTAAAAAGACATGTATTTATTTTTACTGTGCTATACATCTTTACATTATGTCTCTCATGTTAGTGCATTGAAACTCAAAGATTCTTTTTCCTTTAGGAAGTAAACTGTCTCCGTGCTCAGATGGGGGCCAGAATAAACGTGGAACTGAATGCTGCTCCATCTATTGACCTTATAGGGCCCTGGGTGAAATTCGTGATGAATATGAAAACCTGATGGACAGGAACCTAAGAGATGCAGAGAATATGTTTAGACAAAGGGTAATGTGTTTTATATACATGTGGTATAGGCTTGCAGGTGTATGCAGCTATATGCTTGCCTGTTCATTGTTCCAGTAACTTTGCACTCCAGTCCCCTTAAACATATTGCTAAAAATTGCATAGGCCAACCAAACTCATAATATTATAATTCTAGGTATGGGGGATTCTGATGTAATCTGAGATGTAGCCTATGAATATGTTAATTACAGAGAGTGTGTCCAGGGGATAAAAATGTAATGAATATTCCCGCTCATGACACTGGTAGATCTTTCAAAACCCATGAAATTATTAAAATAATATAATTGACAGCACAGGCACATATTTGGGACAAGAACATGTACAAAGTGGAGGGCAGGGGAATTACACAGGCAAGGTTGACCATGCTGCAGTAGTTGTCGAGAAAGATAGGTAATTGTGCTTATTTTGTTGCTCTCAGAGTGAAGAGTTGAATCGTCAAGTAATTTCTGGCTGTGAGCAACTTCAATCTGTGCAAACTGAGGTCATTGAGCTTAAGCGCACTGTGCAGACCCTAGAGATTGAACTACAGAGCCAGATGAGCATGGTAAGATCATACAGCCATCATTATTTAAATATTCTTTGAATTGTAAGCCTTTGTCCTTAAATTCTATTTCATTTTAATGTTGTTATCATTTCTGTAATAGACATCAGCTCTTGAAAGCACCTTGGCAGAAACACAAGGCACCTACTCTTCTCAAATTGCTCAGTTGCAAGCTATGATCGATAATGTTGAATGCCAGCTGGCCCAAATCAGATCTGACCTGGAACGTCAGAACTACGAATATAAAATCTTGATGGACCAGAAGACCCACCTGGAGATGGAAATTGCTACCTATAAAAACGCCTCCTGGAAGGACATGACATCCAGTAGGTTCCTACCAATTGTATTTAATTGAATATCATATCATCACTTATACACTTAATGGTGTCCACCACATGTTGTTCCTCTGCAAATGGATGATTCCATACTCACGGGGATAGGCCAGTGGATAGGGTAATATAATCTTTTGAAACCACAGGTAAAACATGCCCAAGGCACTTGGTCTCAGAAGTTCAACATGGGATGTAATAGCTTGCACATGCACCTACATTACATCTGTCACAAGATACAGCAGTTACCTCTCCTTGAGTTCCATATACAGTATATGTTCTTTGAACACACACACACTTAATGGATGTATAGTTAGCACAATGAGAACAGAGCAGTATCATGTATAAATGGAAAAGTGAAAAAGTCTATGTTATAATTGATTCATACAAATATTCCTGTATACATCCTTGGAATTTAAGAGAGCTTTAATCTCTCTGGACATTCATATTTTTTTTGATGATGATCAGTATGTGAGAATAAAGCAGTATGATGGTCAGTACGTGAGTGATGCAGAAAGGTTTTCTTAGAAAAAAAGGATAGTCATCTAAGGTTTATAAAATGTCCCGAAATATAAAGAAAGGCCATTTCAACTTCACAATTTCACACATAAAGTATCTTCAAAATTTTGACTCTTTGGTTAAATAAGACCTTGATGAAGGATGTTAGAAATCAAACTTATTTTTAATTTAATTTATTTTCAAAAGTCTGATGCTGTAAAATAAAATACAATGGAAATTTGGTGATGCTATAACAATGATACTATTTAATGAAATATTAACATTGTACTGATCAAGTTTTTAAAAGAGTGAAATAATTTTGTCTTTTATTTTCTAGTGTTTCGGACTATCATTCATCAAGCGGAAATCATGGTAAGCTGTTATATACAGTATATGATGCAAAATTGGTGTAGATTTTTGATTACAAAGACCCTGCCACCATCTGGTACATGGCAAACAAAAACTGGCAGGGAATCTACATTTCAGCAGTATAAAGAAAACTCTTCTAGGATCTGCATTAAAAGCTTATACATAGTATATTATCCATATTACTTCTACTGTCATTGATAATTATGCAGCGGTTTTTAGTGCCAATCTTATTAGAGTATTCTTTAATTTGCTGAAACACACTGAATAAGTAGGGGTGGTAACACTCTTAGAAGTTGTTATTTTGTTTTAGGATTCCTACAAAGTTGTCTCTGCTCCTAGCAGCCACATCATTGCAGCAAGAAGGATTTCTATGTACTCCTGATACAGATTCTCTGCTACCTTAGTTTGCCAAATACCGAGTCTTGACAGGGTCTCTTTAAGTTTTAACATTTCAAGCCTAACAGGGCTCTAGTGAGCCACTGCCTGCCATTACCTTCATAGACCAAAAAGTTAGGAAATCTGGCTCTGACTTAGTTGATAAAATAGTAAAATAGTTCAAAACTTTATTCCATATTTATCAAGACTCAAAAGCATCCATCATATAAGAAAATTGATGTGTTTCTGCCCCAAATTCAGGGCCTTAATTCATCAGGCAATTTGTTAAATTTACACTTAAATATAAATTAAATTTTGCTGGTCTTTTAATTTTTGTTTTCTGAATGATAGCTCTATAATTGAAAAAATGTTAGCATTGATTAAGGTGTGTTGGTTGGATTGATTAATAGAAAACATTACCTTAGCTGTGCATGATGCCATCATGAATTGTAGTGAGCAGGAAACTTGATCCTTACCACTTCCCCATCTATATTTTTTCCTCTCTTTCTTCCAAATCCCAGAACCTAACCCCCTATAACCCCTTTGCATGCCTCATTCCCATACTTACCTTTCCCCTAATTTCTTCATATTTCCATAATTTGCTTCTTCCTTCTTACATCCCCTGCAAAACAAGCCCTTACCGCAAATAACACACCACTGATCACGTCATTAATCTGATAGGACACCCCATACTATACCCATAAATACAGACTGATCCCTTTACTATATCTAAAATATAGTTTATCGAGATTAAAAATTTCTCATTGCCTATGAAACATGATGCTCAGTTGACAGTTGACCTCTTAACTGTAGTTTTACCACCTTTCTCTGGTCTAAAGTCATATAGTTTGTTCTCTCTGTAACAGTGAAAATATGCAACTTAAAGAATATTAAAGAAAAAAATATTTAAAGAAAAAGATATCTGCTATGTTATTTATATACTCAATAATAATTGGGTTTTATAAAGTGAAAGAAATTCTTCTTTTCACACTAAGAGATCTGTTGCTCTGCTATGAAACTTTGGGGCAGAGTAAAGGGCTCTTCTATGGTTATTAAAATACCAACTCCCATTATGTGCTAGAGTCACTTGCCCTTTTTGGTAAGCCTGCCACCTTAATCTTTTTTTCCCCTTATTTATGTAGTTCCAAAAGTGTCTTCAAATACTTTAAGGGTCAGCCAGACACATGAAGTTGCCAGAATTGGAGACGCTACTTTTCTGTTCAGTAGTTTTTATTAGAGATTTTGTTATTGGAGCAATAAGGTATGCCCTTGCCCAATGGATGTAATGGTACAGTACTTTACTCACTAGAAAAACAGAGCAATACACTAAAACAGTTTCTGACATCAGGAAAAACCTCTGTCCACAATGTTTGAACCATACATTTTTCCATTGGGACATATACAAAAAAAAATGGGGAAACAGTAGAAGTAGGAAAAGGAAAAGTGAGGAAAAGGAAAGAAGGGGGATCTAAGGCTGGTAAGGGTTGAATGTCTTCAGCCATTGCTCCCATTAGGATATTTGGGAGAATTAGAGGTATAAAAGTTTGTGGTCAAAATTTAGATGGAAAGCTACTTTTATAAAGATGGCCAATTACAAGATGTCATATCACATTCTATCAAGCATCGTTATGGTAGGAGGGGAGTAACCCTATTAGGTACAAGCCCAGCCAATTTTTTTTTGTGTTGGATAGTTAGCAGGGAGGTTAGTATGGCAGGCTACCCATCCAGAGATTAACCTTTATTTCCTATACTATCAATAAGATAAAGGTTGTGTTAAAATCTGCTAAAATTCCAACTCTAACAGTTGTCACCAGAGTAGCTTTCTCCACTACCCCTGTGGGAGTGGCAATCATAACATTTTGAATTACCCCTTACCTTCTGTGACACTAGCTACCAGGACAAAAAAAAAAACTTCTGTAGCATTTAATCTTTTTTTTTTTCATTTCCAGGTTCTCACCACAAAGTGGTCCATCACACCACTGAGCATCACCATGAATCCAAATGTTAATCTCTACATCGGAACTGTATTGGAAAAACACCACGAAGACTTTAGAAGACAAAAATCACCGAAAACGAAAAATGTTGCTTTCTTATATGTAACATCTGTCTTGTTTCCTTTATATACTCTAATTATTTAGTGGAGGAATGTAGAATGTGATTATAACATGGTGTAAGGGGAGATAAACATTTAGCAATTACTTATTTCTTCCTAGGAATATATTCTGCTGATACTAGACATAGTTTTAATATCACAATGTAAATCTTTGCATGGACTAACATTATTCAGTTGTAAACACTTCTAGTTAAAGTACAGCTGTACCTTCGGACCCAAACTGGGAATAGTTTCCCCATACCCGCTCCTATTAAAAAGGCCCATGTAGACTTAGTATGCAGTGCAGACCTGCTCTCTACTGCCAGGCAGCATTTAAATCCTACTTCATTTGAGAGCCTCTATTGCAATGGATGGGTCTTATTGCATTGGCTGAGCTCTGATTCTTATTGGCTCAATTCCTTAGGCCACAATGCATGTTACATAGCTATAGTTACATAGTTAGTCAGGTTGAAAAACAAGTCCATCTAATTCAACCAATAGAAAAAACATTTTGAATAAATAGATAGAAAACATCCATATACACAATACCCATAGTTGATCCAATGGAAGGCAAGTGGGTGTTCCCTGGATCAACAATCTCTGGTGTATTTACCTATAAATGTAAATGTATAATTATAATCAGTACATTTAGGAATACATCCATCTCTTTTTTAAGACAATCCACTGAGCTGGCTAAAAGCAGTTCTTAAGGGAATCTTTTCTACATTGTACAGCTCTTTCACAGCCTTTTCTGTATGCAGAGGGTAAATCTCTTTTCCTCCAGATGCAAAGAGTACCTCCATGTGATATTTAAACATAACAGTCTTTATTTTTTGTACATGTCACCTAGTCTTGCCAATAATTGAATTATTTAAGCAGCAGGAATTTTCAGTTACAGTAAGTAGGACTCTTTGTAAGGAATGCCACCCCTAGCTCCTAATGTTGCTGACTCCTCCAAACAATGCCCCCATTATGAATTATAGGAAGGAATATACAATGTTTTTTTTTATTTTGATTTTTTAATCCTTATATGGACAGTGTTTAAAGTGGTCTAGGACTGATGGAAGTGGACATTTGGAGGCAGCAGATCCACTCCAATGAAAACGGGAAACAAACATCCAAGAGTCCAAGTATCATTAAATTAATTTGGACTCTTGGATGTTTGTTTGGTGCACTTATTAGATTGTATGTCTGTAGCTTCTCAACTCTAGGTCCTATCCCTTTTTCCTGAGGGTGGTCCCTGTCTTGTGGAGTACGGCCGAACTGGAGCCAATTTCTCCAGTGCAATTTCAGTAATTTCTATAAAATCTGAATCCAGTGCCCCGTTTGTTTTTGTGTTT